TCACAGCGCGCTCTCTGGCGCGCGCTCCCTGGCTCTCCCCTCCCTTTTCTCCTCCCTCCCCCGTGACACACGAACGCATCTAACCCCGCGCTCCCCCTCCCCAGGCCAGCTCCCTTCCGATTGCCCTCCCAGGACTGCGTGGGAAGGGGGGAGGGAAGGGGAGGGTGCGGCTCTGAAGAGACACCTGCGCTCCTCCGAACCAGTGAGGGTGGGGGTAGGGGCTAAGAAACTACTCATGCAAGGCCTGGTGGTCACTTGGTTTCCAGTTTCTAGTAGAAGAGGGAGAGACCACCCACCACCATCTCCTTTCTAAGTGCAGACATCCTCTCCCTAGACATTACCCACATGGGGGCTTCCAGGGCCACACCCCCCAGATCAGGCATGCCTGCCCGGCAAACTCCGGTAGGTGAAGGATCCTTCCAACACCAGGCACTGCTGAGTGCAAGCAGAGCATGGGACTTTAAGACTGGTAGGCACACTAACCTGCCCACCATGACAGAGGGCGTCCCCGAAGAGTCCCAATTTTAGGATTCCCTGTCCCACTCTGCTGGGTTGTCTGATGCAGGCCTCAGATCTGGTTCATGTTGATCAGCCAGAGTGGGAAGTTAAGCTAGCCTCGGTGCCTGGCACATCCTTTTTGGGTCTGGCTTGATTCTATCTTGGACAAGTGGGTGCCGGGGACCCTGCCTCCAAAGCTAGATCTGTCCTAGCTCAGCGGACCAGCTAGTAACCAGATACCTGCTGGGGGCCAAAGCCCTGTCCAAGTGTCTTCAGCCTCAGACAGCATCAAATGGAGCCATTATGACAAGGGAATAGACTCTCTGAGAGCGCTCGGTCTTTTAGGTCTGGCCAGTACCTAGTTGCCTGGCGTGGAAATAAGGAGGACTATGAGGGGGTTCTGTTCTCAGGCTTACTAACCCAGCTCGGCCAGGAACCTCCTGTTCAGAAGCTATCTTCTCTGTCCCTAATCCCCTTTTAATCTCTCCAAATCCTCTGAACTTTTGCTACTCCTGGGCCCCAGGTTCAGAGGCCGGCAGGTGCAGTTGTGCAGAATGTTTTGGGTTGGAAAACTCTGTAGAAAGCAGACTTTGGACCTCACGAGTAGGCAAATTGAGGCACAGACATCAAGCAGCAGTAGCAGTTCCACGCCGCTGTCTCCTGAAACCAAGAGCTCTGGATGTCGCACAACTTCGTGATCAGGGAGCTGAACTGGGCCCCAAGGCGGGAGCAGCAGAACAACCCAGGGGCTTGGCAGGCGGATGCTGCCACCCCGTGGCGACAGAGAGCAACGCTTGAAGCTGGAGCTGGACTTGGAATACCATGCCCGCGAGTCTGGGGACCATTCCACGTTGCCGCCAACAGCCTCAGTCTTGGGGTCGGTTAGCGAGACAAAAGATTTGTGTGACTGTAGTGGGGGGCTGAAATAGCAAGAGGCATCCTCACGCGTCCTACACCTGGGGCTTTGGGATTCCCACCCCACCTCCAGCCCAGTCAGATCCAGAGGCCCAAGATAGGATTGGCTCTGGGATTCTCCAGGAGAGATGTGACCGAAAAAAATGGGTGCTTCTGTTTTTAGGTAGGACCCGACCTACTTTTTTTTTTTTTTTTTGGTTTTTCGAGACCGGGTTTCTCTGTGTAGCTTTGGAGCCTGTCCTGGCACTCGCTCTGGAGACCAGGCTGGTCTCAAACTCACAGAGATCCACTTGCCTCTGCCTCCCGAGTTCTGGGATTAAAGGTGTGTGCCACCAACGCCCGGCCGGACCTGCTTTTAAGCCTTAGTTTTCCTAAAACCAGAATGCAGGTTGCTAAACGAAGCGCAGAGGGTCTGCGGCACAGCGTCGTGCTGCCCCCTGCCGGCTGCAGGTGGGAAGCGACATCACCCAGGCTTTCTAGGGAGCCTGTAACCACATAGCCTCCTACCCACCATTTGACCTTGTGGTTTGAAGAAGATATAGTTAAGGTTTGGCTCCAAGATCCCTCCACAACTATTTGTAGGACAAGGTGGAGAATTACTTCTGTTGGGGGAGCTTCTCTCCATAAGGTTGGGTAGGGATTGGTATGAAGAAGATAGAAGTCTCCAGAGCCAGGACTGCTTGTGGGCCTGGTTATCTGTGGGTTCAGCCAGGCTCAGCTATCCTTGCCTGTGTGACTTTGGGCACAATTTTCAACATCTTCAACCTGAAAATCCTCCTTTCCCTCCTCCTTCTCATCCTCATCATCGTTCCTGTACTCCATGGTGTTACTCTGGTGTGTCCACCTCCAAATGAGTAAACAGTGATGGGTGGATGAGTGTCTGGATGCATGGGTGTGCAGGTAGTTAGATGATGCACAAGTACATGAGTGATGAATAAATGCATACATGAACGCATGGAAGAGTGGACTGATAGGCAGGTGGATGGATGAGCACATGGACACATGGGTAGGTGGCTAGGAGGAATGGATGCATACATTCATAGATAGAGAAGTACATATATAGATGGATGGTGTCTTAGGTGGGGTTTCTATTGTGACAGAACACCACAACAAAAACCAACTTGGTGAGGGTTATTTCAGCTTATGGTAGCACATCACAGTCAACCATCAATGGAAATTAGGGCAGGAATTCAAGGTATGAAAGAGGTAGGAACTGAGGCAGAAGGAACCCTGCTTACTGGCTTTCTCCTCTTGGCTTGCTTTCTTATAGAACCCAGGACTACCTCCTCAGAGTGTACAGGCACTGCCCTGGGTGAGCTGGGTTCTCCAACAGCAATCGTCAACCAAGAAAACACTCCATCGGCTTGCCCACAGGCCAGCCTGGTGTGTGTGTGTGTGGGGGGCATTTTCTCATTTGAAGTTCCCTCTTCCAAAATGACTCTAACTTGTGTCTAGCTGATGTAAAATGACAGCTGACCTTGTCAGCTTGACATACAAACACATCACTGGTGACTGGAATGTTCCCTTTCTCATTTGTTCCTAAGGTGGTATAATATTGATAGCACCATATAAAACACTCCAGCTTTGTGATTTTTGTTTGTTTGTTTGTGACAGAGTCTCTTTATGTAGAACTGGCTGGCCTTGAACTCAAAACATAAGCCTGTCTCTGCATTTTGAGTGTTGGGATTAAAGGTGTACAGCATTGTGCCTGGTACACATCCCAGTTTTGAAAAGTTCTACAGTCCTTAAAAATTCAAATATATTGCAAGTGCAGTCTCTTTAAAATATCCAAGGTTTCTTTAAAAGTTCAAAGTCTCTCTAAAATATCCAAAGTGTCTCTAAAATTCCAACGTTTCTAAAATATTCAGGGTCTCATGACTGCAGACTCCTGTAAAATCAAAAACCAAACTAAACCAGGGCACAGTCACAATTAAATTAAAGCCAAGGTCCAACAGTGTAAAAAGTCAACAGTGTAAAGAGTTTAGTGCTTGACATCTGGAACTTACTCATGATCCTCTGGCCTCCCAAGGTCACCTGACCAATGACAGCTCTGCCATCCACAGCACACACAGCTTGTCTCTGAAACTCAGATCAGCTCCACTCCACAGCTGTTGCTGTCCTCGGTGGTCATCCCATGATATATCCAAAATGCTGGGGTCTCCTCTGCAACTGGGCTTCACTTTTACCAATAGCCTCCTTTCCTGGTTCCCCTCAGGGACTGTGACCCTACCACATGATGCCAAGCCTCAACTCTCTATGACCCCTTCAATCCTGGGGCTTCAAACCAGTTTGGATAGGTGGGTCAATGTATACATGGATGGATGAATGCATAGATGGATGACTATATGGCCCCTCCTGGTCTCTCATGGTGCCAACCCCCTTCATGCCCTCAAAACTAGTACCACTTGGGAGACTCTTACACATTATCAAGGCAGCTACTAGCACAAAGTACCGCTTTAGCTCCCTTGGACCATAGCTTCTGTGTACTGACCTTGAGGAAACATTTCTCAGAAAATTCATCCTCAGTGATACCAGTCTCTTAATCACAACTGATTCTTCAGTTCCAATGGACCAGCTTCAATTGTCCTAGCAAACCAAGTGTTTCGCTTTAGTGGTTCTTAATCCCAAAAGACATATGAAAGGCCTTGATAGAGTCTTTGTTTCCCTCTGAAACTTCACAAGCCAGGCTTCCATTGTCTGCACTGCTCTCAGCCTTGTGTTCCAAGTTCCCACAATTGAGCTCTGACCACTCAATGGCTTTTACAGCCTAAAGTTCCAAACACCTCCCCAACCTTCCCCAAACATGGTCAGGTCTGTCAGAGCAATACCCCACTCCTGGTACCAATTTCTATCTTAATTAGGGTTTCTATTGTTGTGATAAAACATCATAACCAAAAGCACGTTGGGGAGCAAAGGATTTATTTCAGCTTATAGTTCCACATTACAGTTCATCATCAAAGGAAATCAGGGCAGGAACTTGAATTCAGGAACTGAAGTAGAAGCAGAAACAGAAGCCATGGAAGAATGGTGCTCCCTGACTTGCTCATCCTGTCTTCATATAGAAACCAGGACCACCAGCCCAAGGTGGCAGAGCTCACAGTGAGATGTGTTCTTTAACATTAGTCATCGGCCAAGAAAACACTCTACAGACCAACCTGGTGTGGGCATTTCCTCAATTAAATTTCCCTTTTCTCAAATGTCTCTAGCTTGTGTCAAGCTGACATAAAACTAACTAGCACAGATGAGTAGGGGGATGGATGGTTAGAGGAATGCGTGTATGGATACATGCATAGATGGATGAAATAATACATGGATGGATAGGTAGGTGAGACATAGATGGATGTGTACATCAAGGATGAATGAATGGGTAGATGGGTGGATGGATAAATGAATGAGTTGACTGAGGAATGAGCTGGTGGGAGATTGGATGGATTGATGGATGAAGGGGTAAGTGAATGGATAGACACAGGTGGATGGATAGAAGGATGGAGTGAGGAGTAGATAGTTAAATGGATGGATGGGCAGATGGATGAATTCATGGATGGATTTGCTTTGGGAGCATGCAGCAGGCCATCCCCATGTGGACCAGTGTGGGCTGTGGAGATGAATTAAGTCTAGGTACTTTGCCTGGGACATTCCCAGATTGTTTGCTTTTGTCTGGTTGTTTTTGTTTTTGTTTTTGAGATAGGGTTACTCTACATAGCCCTGACTGTCCTGGAACTTTCCTTGAATTCACAGAGATCTGTCTGCCTCTGCCTCTGCCTCTGCCTCTGCCTCTGCCTCCTCTGCCTTTGCCTCTTGAGCACTGGGATTAAAGGCATATGCCACCATGACTAACAGATATTTTTAAGCACTGAAAGTTCCCCCATCTCAGGAACTCATCAGAAAACCCCAGATCTAAACTAAAAGGGAAGAAACCAGAATTCTCCTCAAGTTACTGATTTCTCTGGGACCCTAGCAAGAAGTGCCTGAGAATGGTCTCACAGGACTGGGCATATAAAGGTAAATCCAGCTTCCATTTAATTGACAGACACTGTGCTGGACTCCTTGTCTGCACAGTTCCTCTGAGTCCTTACAGAAACCACCAGACAGATTTTCCCTTATGTCCACACCCTGCGGTTATTTGCCCTCCATAGCTGAGTCCAGTCTAGTTCAGGCACAGATGTGGAATATGGAGAAGCAGATGGATGCGTGAATAATAAATGAATAAAACCCACCTCCTTCTCTCCTGACATCTCTGTCCTTTATGTCACTTTGACACTTCAAACTAGTTTCTGCCTCAGGACCTTTGTATATGCCATCCCTTCTAGCAGCGTTCTTCCTCCAGCTCTATCTGGCTTTAGCTAAGCATTCCACACCAGAAGCCTTCTCCCTCCCCCATTCTTCCTACCAAATATACCCACTGGCATTCTTTAATATGATACTCATCTTGAAGAAAGATGTCATTGTTTTATCTGTCTTGTTCCATTTGCATATAAGCTTCACAGGGACCATTCCGATGCCTTGTTTACTGCTCTATCCCGGAGGCATAGAGTAAGTGTTCTATTAAGTAATTATTTGAATGAATGAAGGTGTGAATGAATGATTTTGCAGGAAGTAGCAGGCACATGTGACCTGTAGTGTTCCAGGTTGGAAAGAGAGGGACCTGACCCAACTCCTCCAAACCCTAAGGTTAATCACCCCCATCTCTAGCATCAGTCACACCTGGTTATTACTGCGCCCCCACACCCTGGCTTCTGTGTGGCATCCTGTTAGTGACTTGTGAGTGATGTGGTCACTGACGTTTCCTGAAGTTTAGTGTTTCCAGCCCCAAGTGCTTTAAGTGTGCACTGACCCTAGATGAGCAGCTGGGTGCCACTAAGCTCAGGCAGATGAAAGAACAGAAGCAGAGTGGTGGGCAGAGCCAAGCTCACATTGCTGGGATAATATATTGGCTGGTTTTATGCCAACTTGACACAAACCAGAGTCACGTTGTAAGAAAGAACCTCAACTGAGAAAATGTCCCTATCAGAGTGGCCAGTGGGTATACCTATGGTGCATTTTCTTGATTCATGATTTATGTGGGAGAGCCCCGTTCACCTCGAGAAGTACTCCCCCTGGGCTGGTGGCCTCAGATTGTGTAAGAAGCAAGCTAAGGAAGCCATGGGAGCAAACCAGTAAACAGAGTTCCCTCATGGCCTCTGCTTCAGTTCCTGCCTTGAATTCCTGCCCTGACTTCCCTCAGTAATGGACATGATTGGGATGTGTAAACCAAATAAATCCTTTCCTCCCCCAAGTTGCTTTTGGTCATAGTATGTTATCACAGCTGTAGAAACCATAACTAAGGCAGGGATGCAGGATTCCCACCCACACCTGTCAAGCAGAGAGCTAGGCTCTTGCCACCGCATCACTCAATCTCTTTATGGGACAGAAGCAGAGGGGAAATCCCAGCAGCCCCTGCTGGAACCCCAGGCCAGTGAGGGGAGGGACACTAAGGATGGCCAGAGGCCCATAGTAAGGCATTGAGGCGGGTGGGAGGAATTAGGTGACCCTCAGAGAGACAGAGTCAGATAGAGGCAAGAGGAAAAAGAGACGCTGTGGTGGGTTTTTCAAGATGCCCTGCCCTAGTTCCAGTAGTGCCCAAGACTATGGTAGCCTGTGAGACAGGCATACATAAAGTCACAGTCTTTTGATTCCATCAGAGCTTACCCTCACAGGCTGGGTCTGAGTTCCTGAGTGTGGTAATATTTTGTTTGTGCTCTAACAAATAAAGCTTGCCTGAAGATCGGAGGGCAGAGCTAACCAGTAGTTAACCATAGAGGCCAGGCTATGGTGGCACACACCTTTGATCCCAGTACTTGGAAGGCACATGCCCTTATTCCCAGCACTAGGGAGGTGGAGACAAGAAGTGATATGGCTGGGTGGAGAGAAGAATATAAGGCAGGAGGAGACAGGAGCTCAGCCCCTTCCAGGCTGAGGAGTTGGCGAGGTAAGAGGTGGCTGTGGCTTGCTCCTTTGTTGCTCTGATCTTTTAGCATTTGCCCCCTGATATCTGGTTCCAGGTTTTTATTATTAAGACCAATTAGAATTCGAGCTACACCCAAGCTCCTTAAAAGCTAGGTTTACAGCAGCTATAGCTTGAGGGCCTGCAGGAGAGACCTTAGAGACCTTAGAGTTTGACTGATAGCAGCTTCGGAGGAGGCATGGCCTCCTGGGGAGAAGGCTCAGGGCCCCTGGGGATTGAAAGCTATTAGAAACCAGTAGGGGAAAGTGGGAACCTCAACCCTGTTCAGAATTCTGTGCCTGCCTCCAGGAGGCCTATCCCTGCCGACCTCCCGGTGCCCCCCCCCATCCGTGTGAGGCTGGACTCCCGATGAGGCGGTGGTTAGAAGCCACACACTTCGTGGTGAACATAAAACCAGTGTGGCAGGGTTTGGACACTCAGAGAAGGAAACAGAAACCCAAACCCCAAGATGCTGTAAGCAATGGCCCCTGGCATCAACAGAGTGAAGCACGGCTTAGGAAAGAGGCCGGGCCCCAGACATGGACAGCATGCCAGACTGAGGAGTTGGGACTTCTTTTTCTGGCACAGGGGAGCTACTGAAGATTTTTGGAGGGGGGGGCGCATCAGAGTTGGGCCCTGAAGTGCCCCCCCACCTGACCGGTCAGGTTCTGGAATCATGCCTCAGAAATGGGGGAGGGAAGGTTCTATATGCATGCTGGGGGGTTCTGGAGACAAAACCTGATTAGGAAGGAACCTGGACCATGACATCAATGACTGGTGCTTGCATGGCTGCACTCTCCTGTGCGTGCATGTGTCTGTGTCCTGCTCCAACCCCAATAAGGCAAAGGGCAGACCCTCTAGGGAGAGATAGGGAATGAAAGTGGGGGAGCCTTCATTGCAATACACAGGTGGAGGTACTTGAGGGATGATGAGTCTCCCATGAAGCAAGCCCAGGAGTTTGACAGGCCAAGGGCGGGAGATCGAGTCAGTCCCTAGTCAGGATTATAAGCTCTAGGAGCCAGCACTCCTGCATTGTGTGGACATGGTCACCAGGGGGTGCCCTGTCCACAGATCTGCCTCTTTAAAACAGACATCCTGTTTCCAACAGAAGTCTCTTCTCAGGCCTACAGGGCCGAGAGCAGAGGGCAGGCCACTGTCTATTATACCCTGGTCCAGCCTGATCTGCTGGAGAGGCATCTGTCTTCTAGTGCAATGCAGACCAGGGCACTGGGGTGTTCTCTCTGAGTGAGAGGACACAGCGCCCTCCAGACATGGCCTATCTTGAGAGAGGAGTATGTCTGCTATGGCTCCTTGCTCCTAAAGTCCATGATGCTCAGCTCAGACCCCCAATCCTCAACTTCTTCCTCCTTGGCAAAGGTAACTAGGTCTCACCCTTCCATCCCTTCCCCTTGCTGGTGATGGCTGCCATGGAAACAGTGTGTGGGGTTGCAAAGGAACAAAGGGCTCCTGTATTGTTTGTTTGTCAACTTGACAACATCTGGGGAGAGGGAAGCTCAACTGAGAAAATGCCTCATCACATTGGACTTTGGGTAAACCCATGGGACATCTTCTTGATTAATGATAGCTGTGGGAGGGCCCAGACTTTTGCAGGCTATGCCCCTTCTGGAGCAGGGTCATAGGGTCCTAGGTTGTATTTTAAAAACCAAGTTGAGAAAAATCAGGAAGCAGCACTCCTCATGGCCTATGTTTCAATTCCTGCCTACAAGTTCCTGGCCTTCTTCAGTTCCTGTCCTGCTTCAGTTCCTGCCAGGACCTCCCCCCAGTGATGGACTGTGACCCAGAAGCCAAACAAACCCTTTACTACCCAGATTGCTTTTGATCATGGTCTTTATCACAGTAATAGAAATCAGATTAAGATGGCTTCTCAGAGAAAAGAAATGGTTATGAAAGGCTAGACC